GAAAGGAAATAAAATTTATGTACAAAACGAAGTATAGTAATTATTATACAGGGCCCATAATCACAAGCTCCAAGCTCACGTGGCCCTGGTTCTACCCTAAAAAAATCACTCTCTCTTTGGCCCACACGACTGAAACGCAATTTACTACAAAGGAAAATTTCTGCCGTAAAAGGGCCCCTCAAATCCTTTCCAAGCACTCAGGATAACAATGCACATGTCAAGTGGAGGACAGTCTACTTCACCACAAAGAAAATGCAAAAAATGCAAAACTCAGCTGAGTTCTTACAGCTGAGGACAGGGTTAGAAGCATTTTTGAGGAAAACCTTTTTCTAAAGGCCACCACTGGGATGGGTACTGAGCCAACTCCTTGTACCCCCATTCATGCTTTCTGCCATGCCTGGGGAAGGAGTGTTACTCACGGTCCTTTCTCAGATCGTCCCCTGGGCTCAGCCGGTTACACCAGTACAGTCCCTCCACGATCTGCTTCCAGGACGTGTCCTCACACTCTTGGTATACCGACTTAACAAGCAGAATTCAGGGCGGAAGCAGAACAGAGGATCTGATGGACTTCCAGGGAGGTCACCATAGCTCAAATGACTCTGTTCAGCATTTAAGCTGTCACCCAGTCCCATGGGAAGAGTGAGGAACCCAAAGAGCCCAACCTCAAATGCAGAAAGCACTTATCAGACTTCCATCATCACAATCATCTCATCTCTCCAAAGTGTTCCCCGGAAAGACCCTTCTCCCCTCAGGTTGGGCCTCCCCTACGAAAGGGAGACATTCTGGAGAATCCCACTCCCCAATGCACCATAAGGTCCCTTCCAGAGCCTGGGTTTAATGAGTCAGTGACTAAACTCCGGACTTGGAGAGGAAAACAAGGCCGACATCACTGATCCATGGGTTACACGCAGAAGGAAATTATCTCACAACATTCACCATGAGTTTTTCCAGTTAACTTCTAATGGGTTAAACAGTTAGTGAGGCACGTAACCCCTCAGCTAATAAACCCTCTCTCTAGTTTAGGGGAGAGTAATAACCTGATCGCAATCCTATGATTACCACGTATTTTCATTGCCAAAAGATGCAATACAATTTCATGGTTACTTGGCCCTGTAAGATAGAAATACCCCGACTTTTTAAGATATAAAAAGGCTTCTGACTAGGGTACTGTCGGTTCAGAAGTGATTCCATAGTACAAATGACTCCATTCATGCCCAAATTTAATTTCAGGAAAATTAACTCAATAAAGATGCCACAATTGTGCTTCACGTTTTAATATCTATTAGGAATTTTAGTGAAGTGATACAGGGCCAGAGACCATGAGGAGATCTATTTCCTGCCTCCTCAAAATGCGACTGACTTAATACCTAATTTATCCTTAATGGGAACAGCGCTGCCAGAGAACTCCGTGCTTAATGAGGGGCCCATGTCTCCAACAGCACAACCAATGACAGAATCAAGAGCGCCTGCACTTTACGGGATGTTGCATTTTGCTTCCTGTAACACCACCACATTGGACCAATCAGGCCACGGCTGACAGCTCCTTCACCCCGACTGTCCAGGGAAGGCTTGACATCCTGGCAGAGTGCTGGGCCTAGGAAGACAACCATGGAGCCAGAGGAAAGTGCAGGGATGAGATAAGGAGCCTTCCTCAAGCACCTGCAGCAGCAGAACTCACAAATGGAGAATTTTTAAAAAAATAACGGAAGAGAAATAAAAAGCCCCAGAAAGAAAAGAACCCATCACCAAATGCATGGCGAGCCTGTGTGCACACACAGCGGGTGAACGCCACACAACACTGAGAAGAGAGCTCATGCCTTTTCAAAATCAATTTGATTTTTAAAAAATTAATGCTAAAAATATTGCTAATATAAAACACATGCAAATGGGAGAGGCTTGCCAGCATGAAGCCCAAGCAAGGAAGCAGCTGAAAGTCTCCAAGACAGAAAAGACCCTCTAATGGCACATCCTCTGACATTGTGAGGCTCCCTGGAAGCCGACAATGCCAGAGCCGAGACGGCCCTGGGACACGGAAGGATGGAGCCAGGCAGGGCGCAGGGTTCCAGGCCAGGCACCAAGAGCCTCTGACATCGGCCACTACGCAACATGGCAGGGACGCGAGGATGAAAACAAAGACGGCCCGCCCACAAGGAGCTTCCATTCCACAGAACCCAGAGGAAGAAATACAAAATACACACAAAGGAAAAACAAAGTAATTTTGGAGAAGAAACCCTCCCCAGGGGATAAGAAATAGCATCTGAGTGGAGTCTTGAAGGCATGGGTGGGGGAGCAGGAGATGGAGGGTGGGCCAGATGTGAGGGGCACCCTGGCAAAGACAGATGGGTCAGCCAGGAGCCCCGGGTGGCCAGAACATGGTCTGGAGGGGCAAACGTGAAGGCAGAGCGCAGAGGGTTTGAAACGCACAGCGGCAGAGCCTGTGGTCTGCACAGCAGACGTCGGGACTCCAGGACATTGGGCCTCTAGCCCTGGACCTCGGCTCACCTCAGCATCTACCTGGAGGGATGGGGGGAGAGCAGTGGAGGCTCCCAAGGCCTTCCTTTAGAGAGGCCTCCAGCAGAGGCTCCATCTGGCCTTCCCTGGGCCCCCTCCCACACCCATTCAGCTCCCACTAGAACATAAGCTCCCAGGGCAGGGCCTTCTTACTGGTACCCCTGGCACGCAGTAGGAGCTTAACAAACGTTTATGGACTGCAGGCTCCCCCAGGGGCCAGAGGGAGCCAGGACGGCACTACAATGTCAGAAGGAAGGGACCAAGACAGAAAGAGCCACTGGGAGGCTACTGCAATGGTGAGCAGGGCCTGGCCTGGGGGAAGGGAAGGAGGAGGGTGGCTCCTAGATTGTGAAAGGGGAGGACGGGGAGGCTGGGATGGCCTTGGCTGAGAGAGGAGGAAGATACTTGATTCTGCTCTGGGACAAGAACCAGTGAGGGCCGGGAGGAGACGTCCAGCCAGGGGTCACCTGGCATGGGAGCAAGCTGAGGGTCTGCTATGAGAAAGGAGAGTCAGACCCACTGGAGTGTCGCAATTCACAAGAGAGGAGGAGGAAAGGAGGATGGGACTGTGGGGGGAGAGAGATGACAATTCTATAAAGGAAGCGAGAAGGCACTGTCACACGGGTGGGAGGAGAACCAGGAGAGAGGGAGATGAGGAATGAGCATTGAGAGGAGGGAGAAGAGAAGGGGAGGGAGAGGAGGAGAAGGGAGAGAAGAAGGAGGAGGAAGGAGAAGAGGAGGAGGAGGAGAGAGAGAAGGGGGAGGAGGAGAGAGAGGAGGAAGAGGGAGAGGAAGAAAGAGCATCAGGAGGGGGAGGGGGAGGAGGCCCCAGCAGCATCCTAAGCTGCAGAGAGAGCTGACAAGAGGGAGACTAGAGAAAAGGCCGCCACATTTGCCAGCTGAGACAACTCCATGCCTTTGCACAGAACCACTCCAATCCAGAGGTGAAGGGGAAGCCAGGCGCCATGAGCCAGGACGTGAATGGGCCACAAGGAAGGGGCAGTGATGGGTGCATCTAGACAGTAGCAGGTCCAGCAGAGTTTGGCTGTCAAATGGTCACAGAGCAACAGCATAAGGGCCAAGTGAAGGTCTTTGAGGATGAGAAGAACCCAGGCAGATGGGGCAGAGACAGACATGGAAAACAGGAGGCCGAACGAGGACAAACTCTGGGGGGGGGGGGGGACGAGGTCAAGGCTACCAGCGCCGGGCTGATCTCTGGCGTGGACAAAGGCTACTTCTTCAGGCTGGAGAAAAGGGGGTGCTGTGGGGCATTTCTGAGGTGCACGGCAGGACAGAGGAAGGAGCTCACGGCACAGGCTTGGGTTTTCTCAACAAAGGGGAAAGGGGAGAAATGGGAGCCTTACAGTCCTGCAGTCCCCCACGGGCATCATTCAGCTGCTTGCCTATTTCTCCCGACTTAGGGGATTAGCCGACCCGTGAAACACCACTGTATCTAATGGCATCTTTTCCTGGACACAACTAGTGATGTTATGCAGGGCCATCTTCATAAACAAAAAGTTCCTTGGGCCACTGGGCCCTCTATGAAATTTTCTAGGGAGTGAAGGTCACTTGTCACAAAAATCTAAACCTTCAAAAGAGGGAAATTCAACCAATCTTTGGGAAAGAGAATGCTTCAGGGGCGCCCTTAACAGAAAATGTGGGGAATGGGAGAATCCTGAGCATCTCCTCATGGCACTGACTGCAGGGGAGTGTCTAGAGAAGAGGAGGGGCAGGGTCTCCTGATCAGACACAGCTGACTTCTGGGTGGAACAAAGACCAGGAGGTGTCCTCACATTTCTTCCCAGCAAGTTGAAACAAATGGTTGTCACCCTTTAACATGGGGAAACCTCCAACAAAGACAGAGCTTCAGAGAGACATGGGGTTTTCAGGAAACAGCTCACTCCACCAGGTGGTTCTCCACTTCCCCCTCTCCAGGGACTACAGGAAGGGTTCCCTCTGCCCCGCAAAGCGGAGACTGGCCCCACCACACAGCTACACACTGGGCACATCCCCACCGCCCCGGCCAGTCAAATCAGAAGCGGCGACAACCACGCCACCCTCAGAGAGGCGGGCCATCTACACGAAGGGTGCCAATGACCGGTGTGACATCCAGTCTCCTACTGAACCCCTGGACAACATAGATCCTTTCCAGGGTGGGGCCTGAAAATGTAAGTAGCAAGGTGGGTGGGGGGAGGTGTGAGGAATTCTCTTCTCTGCTGCCCCCCCAGCCATCTGGTGACCCAGAACCCCCTAGACTTTCCCCCTTAGGCTGTGGGTCTATGGGTCTGGTCAAAGGCCAGGGGCTCTGACACAGAACACAAGTGAGCATGACTTTGTTATGTTCCCTCTCAGTGGCCCCATTGGTCACTCTATCATGTGAACTGTAAGGACCTAAGTAGCCAACACAGGAGGACCAAGAAGAGTTAAGTGTCCCTGCTCTTGGCACGGCGCTGGCATTTACAGACAACACAGAGCTGGATAACATGACAGTGCAGACTATCATGTCAAGGCCACTCCATCAGACACGCATTCGTCCTTCCACGTGGGCTCCAGGATGAGCAGCAGGGGCCGGAAGGCCATTGTGAATGTGTAACGTCAAAAGCCTGAAGGATAAAGGACAGAGGACCAGAGAGGGGACAGTGCCCTGGCCTAGGCCAGGTCCAGGCTGCCCAAGAATGGCAACGAAAAGGGTGGAGGCCTGAGCTCATCCCACCCGAGACTGAAGGGACTCTGAAGGAGAGGATTCTGGGAGGTGCGAGCTGCTCTTTAAGTACTGCAGAAGGAAGGCTGCCTCTGACCCCAGTAGAAACCCCGGCCCCCCCTCCCCAGGATGGGCTGGCAGGCTGCCCCACCCTGCAGGCTCTGGTCCCGGCCCAGCTCACCTGGTAGGTGTCCCACAGCCTGACAGTACAGCGCAGCGGCATCTCTCTCATCAGCAAATTGTTCATCCACCGGAAGGCAAACTGCAGGTATTTCACCTCGTGCTGGTCTAGATGCCGATGCACTTGTTCTGAAAAAAGTAAGTGACAAATGAATGGAGCAAACGCTATTACTGAGCCACTGCCAGTCTGAGGGCCACGGAGGAGATGGCTCTCTGGGCAGGACGCCCGGTGTGGCCACTGACTGGCCAGATGCGGTGAACGCACATTCCTCCCAGGACCTCAGCTTCTTCATCTATAAAATGAGACTTTTTTGTATTAGATGATCCCTAAGGGCCCTCCCAGCTCTGACATTCCTGTTCTCAGGCCCCTCCCAGCTCTGACATCCCCTGTTCTAAGGCTCTCCCAGCTCTGACCTTCCCTGTTCTGACGGCCCTCCCAGCTCTGACATCGCCTGTTCTAAGGGCCCTCCCAGCTCTGACATCCCCTGTTCTAAGGCTCTCCCAGCTCTGACCTTCCCTGTTCTAAGACCCTCCCAGCTCTGATATCCCCTGTTCTAAGGCCCCTCCCAGCTCTGACATCCCCTGTTCTAAGGCCTCTCCCAGCTCTTGACATCCCCTGTTCTAAGGCTCTCCCAGCTCTGACATTCTCTGTGTGTAAATACATCATTGAAGCTGTTTGAACCAAGAGCCAATTCCCCAAAAGCTCACTGAGGAAAGTCAAGCCACTACCCAGAAGGACGTGCCAACATAGGTCCAGTGTCCCACCGCTCCCAATGTTCCTCTCCAGCTCTCTTGCTGGGGCCAAGAGTCCTTTAGTAGGCTGGGCAGATCTCTATGATGCCAACTTCCAATCTGATGGGAAGTATGGGCAATGGTCGGTGATGAGCAGCCCTCCAAGTCTGCCCATGTCTGCCTCTCTACCCTCTAAATTCAGAGAATCTCACTTTTAGAATGGGTTTCTCAGGAGACAGGCAAAGCTGCCCCAATGTCCAAATCTTGAAGAAATCACTAACAAGCTGAGAGAGGGAAAAGGCTCAGCTTGTGCAGGGAAGGCCCAGCTCCACCAAGGCAAGGTGCTCTGAAGCCAAGAGAAGAGATGGGCAGTTGGGATGGAAAGAACCTGTGGTCTGGAAAGAGCTGTGAAGGCCGGGTCAAGGAGTCTGCTCCATACTTGGCAGGTGAAGGGGAGCCACTGTCCATTTCAGAGGGCAGGAGTGGCATGGTTCAAGCGTTGCTCTGATCATCTCCCGAGATTATGCACACCAAGGAGAGTATTGGGGGAGGTTCTACACGTGAAAGCTCATGAGATCTTAAGCCAGGACTGGCTTCTAAAGAACTCTCAGAGGGCTCTGACACCAGGGTGCAGATCAGTGTGAGATTCAACTCTGATGCACACTTGAGAATCACTACTTTAGAAAATGACTGAATTCACTGAACCAGGAGAAAAAAAAACCAAGGAAATGATTTCCCATGAATGTGTAGCTTGCCGCTATACAAAAAACTGCAGTGATGATGACAGTTGTGGAAGGAAGACAAGTGAGTCAAAACAAATTACCCGAGGAATAAAGGAACAAGACACAGGGCTCCTGCAGTTTACAGCCTCCAAAGGAGAGTTTCCTCCGGCAGTTGATTTTTTCCTGGATACGTCCCAGGAGTCGGGCCTCCCCAAAGCCCGCATCAGACGCCTGCACACGATCCACGTGCAATCTGATTCTGTGGAGAGGCGAGCCCCAACTCCGCACCAAGGCATCATGAGTGGGGCCCCTGGACAAACACCGCTTTCACTCTGACTCGGCCTCCGCTGATGCCACAAATCACAGTCCCCACGTGTCCAGAGTCACACCAACTCTCCTCCTCTGTCTGGCTGAACCCTGACCGCCCCAAAGGGGGGGGGGGGGGAGCCAGCCCTTAGCACTATGCCCCAGACCAGCTCAGCTACTATGGGCTCCAGTGGATTTAACATGTTTCTCTACCACGCCATACCTGGAGAGACAGGCCACACATTGTGATTCTCATATTCACCATGAAGAAAACCAAGGCCAGGGCAGCGTGATCGAGAAGAGGAGATCTGGGTCCAAGGGCCACCTCTGATGACCTGCGGTCCCTCACCCGACCTCTCCGGGCCTCGCTTTCCTCATCCAAAGCCCATCCTGAGGTGGAACTGCCCTGGGCAGCGAGTGTGAGCAAACACCCCTCCCACACACACACATAGCCCCGCTGTACATACACGGGCACCTCCAAGGAGATCAGATCCACTGACCAAGACCAAAGAAACATGAATCTTTGGGAAGCTTCCTCACCTGAAACAGCAGCAAGGTAAGGGGATCAGGGTGCACTCAGGGGTTTTGGATAAGGAAGGAGGATCAATGGTGCGGCCTGGGTCTGGGATTTCAATGGAGTGAGGAAATACCCTCTGCCCATGCAGGCTGGCACCTTCTCTAAATGAGAGCAGCCTAGTCAGTCAGTCAGTCAGTCAATGAGCCCTTATTGTGCACCAGGCATAGCAGTAAGTGCTGGGAACACAAATACAAGCAGACAGACAGCCAGTCCCTACCCTCCAGGAGCTTACCTTCTAATGAAGGAAGACACCACAGCTAGAGGAAGCTGGAAAGGGGCAGGGCTTGAGGAAAGGTTGGGGGGTAGAGATGAGGCACCAGAGCGCAGCCTGGAGGGGAAGGAGAGACCCCAGCACACCAGCAGGATCTGTCCCCAGGTCTTCCTGCCCCAGGGCGGGCGCACTGCCCGCCTCTCAAACATCACTAAATCACTTTCAAAATGCAGGCATTGGGCACACCAAGCCTCCTGCATGAAGAGCCCCAGAAATGCACTCAGCAAACATGGCACCCAGGTGTCTTTCACCCACTGCCTGACCCCCACCTCCCTGGGGAGGGCTGAGAGGCAATGTCTCCGTCCTGCCAGGACCTCTCTGCACCCTATCAGCCCCTTGTGTCCCGGTTCCCGGTGCTCCCCGGCCATTCTGGTGAGCTCCTCAGGGCCAAGTCTCTGGGGGATCCATCTATGCATCCCCAGCACAGCATGGGCACTTAAGGATGCCGGACTGAGCTGACCTGAAGGCCAGAAACGGGATGGTTCACCCTGTGCCGCCCTAGGGGGCGCTCTGTTCAAGACAGATGCTCAGTCGATCAATGATCAATCAATGAGCGCTTCCTATTGGCGCCATGAGTAAGAAAGAAGCCTGGGAAAGGTTGGCAGGCCCTAACTTCCCAACAGAGGCATGGGTGCCATTAGGGAAGGAGCTGCACTTTGGTGGATGGCTGGGAGGGAAGAGGGGCCCGAAGCAGGGAGACCCTGCAAGAAGCCTCGTGACCTTCTGCCAGAGGAAGTGTAGACGCACGAGGTTTGGGAACAACAGCGCACGCCTGTACAGCACGTCAGGGTGCAAGGCACGTCGCCAAGAGGCCTTATCCATGGCGGTCACCATGCACATGTGTGCACACAAGACGGCCTGGAGTCTGCAGGCCCTCGCCTCGTGGGCCCTTGGGGTCCAGCACCACCCTCACCTTCCCAGCAGGTTCCCTGAAGCCCGCCCCATTCACCCTCAGCCTGAGCTCCCTCCCCCAGGGCCTGCAGAGACCCCAGAGTAATTGCCTTTTGGGGCTCGAGTGGGACAACGGGGTGCAGAGGTCCTGAAAAGAAGCCAGGTTTCCCTGTGGAGAGGCAGGGTAGGACTGAAACAGCACTCACTCTGCTCCCAGGCAGGAAGACCTCCATCCACCGTGGGCTCCGGGCAACTCTGCCGCCCTCCCAGGGCCTCCGTTACAGCACGCACCTCACAGGTTACTGCACGGGTCAAGTCAGAGAAGGGGGTCACAAAGGTCCCACGTGGAGATGGTGACGGAAATGACCCCAGAGATGCAGGACACCACCAGGCCAGGTATCGGGCCACAGCGACCCAACCCTGGCTACCACAGGTGCTGGAAACAGAGCCCTCATCCCATTCTGGTCCCGTCTCTCATGTTTCCCATTCATCATCTCTGACCTGTCAGCCCAAAGGACACACCAAGCGGTGCCTCGTGTCTTTGGCAAGTGCCCCGCACTCCCCGACCTCCTCTCCTCAAGGACAGAGCGTGCCTCGCTCACACAGGCTATGGCTACGGCCTTGGACCTGCCAGCAGGCCAAAACATGGCACCGCGGGGGCCCAGGGGACCCGGGAGAGTCCCAGTTAGTCTCACCCACCCCTTGTAGGAGAGAGATCCACTTCTGTCCCAGTCCGAGGACAGCCTCAGCTGGAGAGGCCCTGGCTTCCCAGTCACAGGGTGGTCCCACAGGTTCCCTCATTCTCTGGTCACAGGAAGAACAATAAGCGATAACTAATGAGCTGATCGTCGAATCCATTGACGTAACTGCTAAAAAGCAGCCAAGCACATCCACTGCCCCAGTCCCATCCCAGCATCCGTGACGCCCAGGGATGTTCTGGTGCAGGGCCCCCAGGGGGACTCACTGAAAAATGGGTCACTGAAGCCTCGCGTGCTGATCATCTATACACATCAGGACTACAAATGTATACACTGAAAGGATTCGTTTTTCCTCCATTGTAAGTAATTGTGAACAGATGCTCTCTCACTGATAAAGGTAATTTGGGTGGCAATAATTCTAAATTTAAAATTTAAAATTTCTATTTCACTGGAAGTAAGCATGTACATGTAATGAATAAGCAGGCAAATGGAATTATTGTCAACTTTCTGGCTTAAAATATTTTTTCATAAAATACTTAGGCAGCAGTTTAGTATAATTTTATTGTTGGAAAGTCACAAGAAATCATACTTTCCATACCAAAATTCAGAAGAAACAAGGCCTATATTGGCTTGATATGTTCTGCAGCACTCTGAACAACAGCTTCTCCGCAGATTGGAAATTCTGCTGAAACACGCTGTCTTCTCGATTAAAAATAACATTAAGTTATGCACATTGTGTCCCCTAGATTTATGCTAAAAAGCAACAAATGTCTATTCCGTTGACTTGGCACATACAAACATATTCGCTTTTCATTAGGGATATTTATTGGCCTAAGAGTTCCCTCGGAATCTGTTCAAACATGACAAAAAGGGGAAATGATGAAAGCTGGAGGGCTGTGGGAAGACAGGTCCAATAAGCTCAGTCGGTGGAG